TGAATTCCAGGTGATTCTCCTGCCTCAGCCTCCCAAGGGCTGGGATTACAGGGTACACCACCATACCTCTGTTTTTTTAGATGGAGTCTTGTTTATTGCAGCTGGATTTGAACTCAGGCTGAGTGTGGTGGTGCATGCCTGTAATCCCAGCACTCAGGAGGCTGAGGCAAGAGGATCGCTGTGAGTTTGAGACCAACCTAGGCCACATAATTGAGCTCAAGGCCAGCCTGAACTGCACTCAAGGGCAGCTTGAACTGCATAGCGAGACCCTGTCTCAAAAAGACAAAAAGGCTGGGGATTTAGCTCAGCAGCACAGCACCTTCCTGCCAAGCGCGAGGTCATGAGTTCGATTCCTGGTACCGGAAAAAAAGAAAAAATCAAAAAGACAAAAAAAAAAAAAACCAAACAGCTGGATTTGAACTCACCATGTGGCTCAGGTTGGCCCTGATTTCACAGTGATCCTCCTGCCTCAGCCTCCCAAGGGCTGGGATTGCAGGTGAGCGCCACCAGGCCCAGGTGGCATATTCTTCTTGGTACCAGTAACACCATCCCCACATGCATCGGACGGAGCCTTTGTGGCTGTCTGGCACAACCAAATCGTTTTCAGCGTAAACATTTTCATTTTGCTGAAGACGTTCCTATCGGACCCCTTAAACTTGCGCATCATTTTCAGTCTCTCGTCCATCTGTATTTTTGTTCTTATCAGCCAACTGCAGCGCCGAGTCCAGTTCCTCTAAAGCTGATTTTGCAGATAGAAATTTTATCAAACATTGGGGCTGGGGCTTTAGCTCAGCGGCGCAGCGCCTGCCTGGCAAGCGCAAGGTCGTGAGTTCGATTCCCGGAAAAAAACAACAAAAAATCAAACAAGGTTTTCACTTTGGTCAGTTTGTTTCATTATTTGTGGCGTGGATACTGTGAATCAGCTCAGGGAATAGTGCTCCCCGGCCGACCGAGGGGAAACAGCAGCCTGGCTGGGCCTGTGAGGGTGGCTCCCCCTTAGCTCCTTATCCCTTCTGTCTCCTGCCCCTCCCGCTTGTCCCCCTCCCCGCAGCAGCTTCAGGGCCTTGGTGCGCCCCCTGCTGGGCAGCAAGCAGCCACCGATGGGCCAGAAATGCTGGGCTTGGCTCCAACTGCATCAATATGGGTGGGTGGGTGGTGGGAGGGGCGGGGGTCTCCCTGAGTAGCCCAGGCTGGCCTAGAACTCGCAGCGGTTCTCCTGTCTCGGCCTCCCAAGTGCTGGGATTACAGGTATGTGCCACCATGCCTGGCTCTAGGGGTAAAATTTTTAAAATTAAGTGCCTTTTGCATTTTTCCCTGATTGCTTCCACCTATTTTCTGTTTCCCTTCTTGAAAATTTTCAGCCCCTGCACTGTGTCTGGCTCATCTCTTCCTTGTCCCGCCCCTTCTCCGCCCTGTGGGCCCCGGCTTCGGTCCTGTCTCTGCCTGCTCTAGCCTGTTCTCTTCCTGCCCTCCTCGTCCTGGGTCTCAGCCATTGTCCCATGCGCTGTCCTCCGAGGCCTGGCTGCCGGTGCTGTCTGCTGCCCCTGTCCCGATGGCTATCTGCGGCCTCCCGTGGAGGTCACAAAGGCGCATCCGGATAAGGAGGCCAGGGTGCCGCTGGCTCTGGACGCGGCATGGAGGTGGCATCTCGGATCTGTCACAGACAGCGATGGATGAGGGGTCTCAGGGGCTGTGCCGGAGCCGGGAGTGGGGGGCCGTCTCAGTCATCCTCAGCTTAGATTTATTGGCCTCCTCCTGGGTGCCTGGCACTGTAGTGAATGGTTTCATCCCCCAAGCCCTGAAATCCAGTTTCTGTCTTTCTAGCTCTGTTTAAAATATTGTGCTACCGGGAGGAGGCTCCACAAGCTGACGTGGCTCATGCTGCTGTTCTTTACTACAAGCCGTGTTTTAAAAATCAAAGCCAGAGGGTTTGGTAGCGGTGGCAGGACTGTCCCTCATTTCCTTCCGCACGCTGAGGTCTCTCCGGTCCTTCCTCTGTGTGTGCTCAGGGCTGCGGGAGACAGGGCCGGTTGTGTTTGTGGGGTGTCTTCCCAGCTCTGGGGCTGGGTGGGACTCTCAGGAGGGGCTCAGAAAGGGAAGGGACAGAGATGGGAAGAGAAGGAGGGACACTGCTGGGTGTGGTGGACCATGCCTGTAATTCCAGCAGTTTGGGAAGCTGAGGCAGGAAGACCCCAAGTTTGAGCCAACTCTGGGCAACTTAGTGACTTAGCAAGAACCTATCTTAGAAATAAAAAAAAAAAAAATTTAAAAAGGGCTGGGGGTGTAACAGTGCAAATGCCCTGGGTTCAATTCCCAGTGCCTAAATAAATAAATAAATAAATGAGAGGGAGGTGGTATACACAGTTGTCAAGGTCTTCCTATGCAGTGCAGGCTGGCCTTGAACTTGCTGCGATCCTCCTGCCTCAGCCTCTCGAGTGCTGGGATGACAGGTGCTCCCCACCATTCCCAGCTGTGCAGTTCACTGTGAGTTCGAGGCCAGCCTGGACTACAGAGTGAGCTCAGGGCCAGCCTGCACTGCACAGCGAGACCCTGGCTCAAAAAAAAAAGGAGATGAGGTGTGTGGTGTGTGATCGAGGGCTCCTCCTTGCTATGTCCCGGCCTGCTCCTGCACCAGGTCACAAGGTGCCCTCAGAGGCCGGAGATCTCGAGGATCTGGTGTGAATAAAATGTATCTGGAACCCCGTCTTCATGGAGCTTGAGTGCTGGGAAGCGGTCGCCAGAAGAATGAATGAACGAGGTGGTGCTGTGTGTGCAGCCGCAGGTGAACCCAGCAGGGAGGAAGCGACTGTCAGGGTCACAGTCCGCCAGGGCGCCAGCGCCAGCCTCGCCGCACAGAGAAGACCTGGAGGGGCCAGGGGCGAGCCGAGCAGGGCCCCAGGGGAGACTGCTGTCCGGAGGGGAGAAGGGAGGGCGGCGAGGGCAGGAGCCGGTGAGGTCTGTGGGGCCCGCGTGTGGGCTGTGCGGGGGAGAGGTGAGGGCGACCGCGAGATCTGGTTTGGGCACCGGACTTCGACCCTCGCTCCTCAGGGGGCTGAGGCGGGGGATCGCAGGTTTGGGGCCACCCTGGGCAGCAGGGTGGGACTTGTAGCAATTTTATGAAAAAGCTTTGAAGACAGTGTGTTGGGGGTTTACGCTAACAAGAGACAGGAGCAAGGCAGGGCGCCTGGGAACCTCGGGGACAGAGAAGGGTGTGGCCAGGGAGGAGAGGAGGCTGGGGGCCGGCATGACAGCTGGGCACCCAAAGCTGTCTCCGCCTGATGGCACAGGCACCAGGCGCTCGTGGAATCGGGCACGGGCAGGGCGTGACCGTGGGAACAGCACGGGGAAGAGAAGGAGGCTGGGGGGGTGAGCACAGGGAGGAGCGGGCTGCAGGGACGGCGATGGGGACGTGCCTCGCTCTGAGGAGGACATTTTGTGACCTGGTGCAGGAGCAGGCCGGGACACAGCAAGGAGGAGCCCACAGTCACACACTGCACACCACATCTTCTTGAACTCTTGGTGATCCTCCTGCCTCAGCCTCCTGAGTGCTGGGATTACAGGCGTTTGCCACCATGACTTTTTTTATTATTGAGATAATGTCTTGCTGTATAAGCCAGACTGGCCACGGACATGATGATCCTCCTGCCTCAGCCTCCTGAGTGTTGAGTGATAGGCGTGCACCACCTGGCCCAGTTTGTCCCTTTGTTCCTGCCTATCTTTTGACTTTGGGCAGAAAACAAGGGAGTTTGTGCAGCCCCTGTGCTGGAAGCACTTGTAATGCATTTCTGCAGTCTCAACAAGCATCTCTGTGCATAAGATAAAAACCAGTGGTTGAATTAAGATTTAGAATTATGTATGGATTAAAATGTTTAAATGCCTGTGATTATAAATAATCAGTCATCTGCTAAACGAGCCGAATTTCTCTTTTGCCATTTTGTTTCCCTTGGTACACTTCTGCTGCTCCCCCCCCATGCCCTGCCAGTGCCCCCCAGCTGGCACTGAGCTCCAGACCCTGAGAAGAAGCCACTGTCTACACTGCTAGGGTTGGCGGCCAGGGCAGGGGAAGTTGGAAGAGATGGTGTCATTTTAGAATTGAGGATGGGGACTAGGAGTGGATCCCAGGCTGAGAACTTGGGAGGGAAGTCCGACCACAGACGGGCTGCGTGTGGCTGGGAACCCGTGGTCTGGTTAAGAATTGGGAAGGGGATGGGCCGGGGATATAGCTCAGTGGCACAAGCACCTGCCTGGCATGCGCAAGGTCCTGAGTTCGATTCCCGGTACCAAAAAAAAAAAAAAAGAACTGGAAAGAGGAGCTGGGCGTGGTGCCACACACCTGTAATCCCAGCCCTGAGGAGGCTGAGGCAGGCTGGCCTGAGTTTGAGGCCAGCCTGGGCTACATAGTGAGTTCAAGGTCAGCCGGAACTACATAGCAAGACCTTGTCTCAAAAGAAATAAAAAGGCTAGAATGTAGCTCAGGGGTAGAGTGCTTGCCTGGCATGCACGAGGCCCTGGGTTCAGCCCCTAGCTACAGGGTGCAGGGTGGGATTCTGAAGGAGGTTGTCAAGGAAACATCTGACTCCTGGGTCCTTTGAATTTCTGGGATTCACTTGGGTGGGACAGGACCAGAGGACCCTGGAGGTCCCACCTGGGAGTAAGCAGCAGTGGGAAGGTGGGGACTCAGAGCCCAAGCCAGGAGGAAGCCCCTGGCGGTTGGGGCAGGCAGGTCCCCGTGGAAGGACCGCTTCCTCCTGGGACAGCAGGCTGGGACCCTGAGCCGTGGTCCTGGGCTTGCAGGAAGCTGGGGAGAATGAGGTGTGTGGGGGGAAGCTGAGGGGTCCCTGCATACAACCCCCCCTTCCACAGTACATCTGTGCTTGTTAATGCCTTTCTTCCGATCCTCTGTCTTCCCTCCCCTCTTCCTGTCCCCGCCTGGCGCTGCCACCTCTGGCCCTTCCTGCTTCCCGCCGTCCCTCCCTGCCCCTTGGTTTTTCACCCTGCAGCGGAGGTGAAGGTGTACAGCTCTGACGAGGAGAAGCTGGAGACCCCCGCCGGGGACGCGGCTGGCAGCGAGCAGGAGGAAGAGGGCTCGGGCGGCGACAGCGAGGACGACGGCTTCCTGGACAGTTCTGCAGGGGCCCCTGGGGCTCTTCTGGGACCTAAACCCAAGCTCAAGGGAAGCCTGGGGACTGGAGCCGACGAGGGGGCGCCCGCGGCCCCGGGGGTGGCGGCGCCCGGGGGGAAGAGCCGGAGGCGCCGCACCGCCTTCACCAGCGAGCAGCTGCTGGAGCTGGAGAAGGAGTTCCACTGCAAGAAGTACCTGAGCCTGACCGAGCGCTCCCAGATCGCCCACGCCCTCAAGCTCAGCGAGGTGCAGGTCAAGATCTGGTTCCAGAACCGCCGGGCCAAGTGGAAGCGCATCAAGGCCGGCAACGTGAGCAGCCGCTCTGGGGAGCCCGTGAGGAACCCCAAGATCGTTGTGCCCATACCCGTGCACGTCAACCGCTTTGCCGTGCGCAGCCAGCACCAACAGATGGAGCAGGGGGCCCGGCCCTGATGCCCGGGCCCACAGTGCGGAGGATCAGGTCCCGGCCCCTGGGTTCAGGACCAAAGGGCTGCGACGGACTCTGAACCCAGAGGCCAGCGACGCCCCTACCCCGGCTGGGCTGGAGGTGTGGGTGCTTGGCCCAGTCCCTCCCAGAGACCTCCAGTCTGGGGCTTCGGGTCCAGGGGCTCAGGTTCTGAGGGCTCAGGAGTCCTGCCGACCGTGGCAGATTCCTGGGCAGGCCGTGCTGGGGTCACAGAACATCTGGGGCCCGAAGGTCCCTGGCCGATGCCCCGCACCGCTTCTGGTGAGAGTCCAGGGCATCCCAGCCGGGCGGAGCGCCGCAGCTCCTTATTTATTTTGTGTAAAGTTTGTGTCTATGGAGCCATCAGTCTCTGTCTGTCTGTCTGCAACCCTCAGAGGGACTGGGAAAGGTTTGTTTCCTCTGTCCTCGGCCAGAGCTCATTCCATCCCCCTGCTCCGGGGTGGGCACCGTCCCTGCGGAAGTCATCGGCTTCCGTTTTCCCACCTACACCGCCTCCCCGCGCTCCAACCGACCCGTTGTCTGCTGCCCCCAGTAAACGGCCTCGCTTCTTCGCTGGCTCTGCCTTCCCTTGGGGAGCACCGGCCGGCCCCAGGGGGAGACTCGCTCCTGTGGGTATTAAAGGGAAGTGAAACTGGTGACCCTCGTTTAGCTGTGGTCATGCCACCTGTCCTGTCCGGGGCTGGGACAGGGTCGGGGCTCCCCAGGCCCACTGTGAGCGCCTTAAAAAAGAGCTTCCACCCTCCCAGCATGAGCTGGCCCTGCTGCCCGTAGGCCGTTCAGGAAGCTCAGCTACCACAGTATCCTGTTACAGAACAAGATGGGGTTACAGGGCCACAGCCCAGGGTCCTGGACGGGCATGCGTGCCACGGAAGACTACAGCGACAGGAGCCGGACAAGAGCTTTAGGATCAGGACCTGGCAAATTAAGCATCTGTGTTTGTGGACAAAGTCGACCCCTGGTGCAGGGCTCTGAGAATATAGCCGCATAGACAGGAGGTGGAGGGACTGTCACACAAACCCACTGCAGCCGGAATCACACCGTGATAACAGGGCCTCTTAGGAGGGAGCAGGACCTGCACGCAGCAGGGAAGGGAGTGGGGACCATGGCCACTTAACAAATAGGCAGGAACTAAGGCACTAGGTCAGGGGTCAGAGGTCAAGTACGAGGCCAGCCTCCTCACCACCCCAGAGGACAACTTCCGGCTACCCCCAGCCCCCAGGGTGAAGCTAGCCAGTGTCTCATCCACTCTGGCAGGCGGTGACACTGAGATCTCCCCGCTACCGCTGGCAACCGATCACAGCAGTCCGCAGCGGTGACTGGCTGGCAACAGCGATGCCAAGGCTTTCGGTAAGGACTCAGGTCCAGGGTAGGTTGCCTTTCAGCAGGGCTTGGGGATTCAGCTGTCCCGACCGCAGCCTGGCCCTGCACACAGAGGGTCAGGCGCTTTTTAGATGAGCCAGGCAGAGGCTGACGGAGACAGGAGCTGTTGTCCTCTCAGCAGGGCTGGGCCGGAGGCTCTGCGGCTCCGTGTCCCTGGTGCAGCTGCCTAACACGGGCCCGCAGGACTCGGCAGCCCCAGCGGCTGGGCTCTAGGGCTCCCAGGCAAGCACTGCTGGCATCTTCTGAGTCCAGGAGTCTGTGTCCCATCTCTGCTCTTGCAAAGAGGACGAGGACAAGGAAATAAAATCGCTTTCCTCTCTAAGTCTCATTGGTTATTTACCTACATGCAAGCAGATGCCACGCGGAGCTCTACCCACCACACCTGCCAGGAGCCACGGGGTGGCAGAAAGGGTGGGCCACCAGCGAAGCGGCCCCGGGGCGGGGCTGACACACAGCCAGGACGCGACCTTACCCAGGCCTTGTCCTTCAAGGTGAGGTGGTACCCGCCTGAAATCCCAGCACCCAGGAGACTGAGGCAGGAGGATTACCACAAGTCTGAGGCCAGCTTGGGCCACATAGTAAGTTTGAAGCCAGCCTGGACTATATAGAGAGACCTTGTCTCACAAAAACCAATAAGCAAAGAAATAGAAAGGAAGAGAGAAAGAAGCTGAGGCCAGAATGAGGGGGAGAGAAGAAACCTGAGGACCCAGGCTCAGTGAGAGGCGAGGGGTGTCCCTGAAGGGCACAGAGGGTCTGAGGGAGACGAGGCCACACACACAGTCTGCTTTATTGGCTCATCATACGCGCACATCAAGTATGTACACAAACATAAATACTCGAATGTACAAATTTTACACGGGAGCCCTGCTGGCCCCCGGTCTCTCTCACCCAGCGCCCCAATCCTGTGCCTGGCCCTGCCCTGTCAGAGGGGGAAGGCTTGCAGGGCTGGCACGAGGGGCCGGGGTCTGGAGGAGGGAGAGGTCCTGCCCCCCTCTCCTCACGGGCACCTCCAAAGGGTCCTGTCCCTCCTCGAGGGCACCGAGGTGCCGAGGGCTAAACGCTGCCCTCCTGTCTGCGGCGGCGTGAGTTCCGGCAGACCTCTGCTCGGCTCCCTCTGACGCTCTCCCCTCCTCGTGCGGCCCTGCTTCTCTGTCCCTGGGCTCTGTTTGCCCCAGCACCTGCAGGGAGGAAGGTCCGAGGCCACGGAGTCCCTCGGGCCCCTCTGCTCGCTCCCTGGGCCTCACAGGAGGCTGGGGCTGCGGTGCAGCTCGGCGGAGGCTCCGGGGCCGTTGGCGGGCTCCCTGCTGGGCGTGGGCGCCAGGCCGCAGCCCTCCCCCGGGCACCCATGCTGGAGCAAGATGTCTGCGCACTCTTGGCTGCCAGCGCGGCGGGCGTAGGCCAGCGGAGTCAGGCCCCGTGCGTCCCGGCTCCTCACGTCCACGCCGTACTGTGGGAGAAGGCACGGGCACGGTTGGCGGGGCATGGGCACCAAGGGGCAGTTCTGGGGCAGGAGGGAGAGGGAGGCAGGGCGGGGCAGAGGCGCCCGACTCACCCAGATGAGCAGCTGTGTGAAGACCACGTTGGCCATGGCGCTGGACAGGTGCAGGGCCGTCCGCCCGTCCCCGTCCCCGTACGTCTCGTTCACCTCCTCCTTGGACCCATGGGCCAGCAGCATCACCAGCAGCCGCAGGTCGTCCTCCACCACGGCCCGGAGCAGCTGCTGCCCCAGCGGCACGTCCGAGCTGGGCAGCGGGGCCAGGAAGAGCTTCTGCTCGTACTTGGCGTGGATCCAGCGCTCCTTCTCCTCTCTGCAAGCACAGGTGGGCGGGGGTGAGCCCAGGAGGCCACTGGGGCCGCAGTGGCCAGGGAAGGGCTGGGGGGCGGGCAGCCAGCAGGAGAATGCGAGAGAAGGCGCAGGGAGGCGAGAAGCCCAAGAGACAGTGGGCATTCAGAGGGGCCGCAGGAGCATAAAGAGGACGGCGGAAAAGCAAAGCAGGGACACGCACAGCGAAGCAGGCCTTCGGGGGCCGGGGGACCAGGCGGGAAGGGAGACTGCAGGTGGCTCCAGGGCCGGGTTATCTGGCTGTCTGAACTCTCTCCGACTGGCAGTGCAGGGACAAAGCAGGTGGGGGCCTGGGCGGGGGGCCATGGCGACCCTATCTGCCGCCCTTTCTCCCCATCTAGCGGCGCGGGCCCGGGCCTCGCACAGCTCGGTGATAGGGGCCCTGCGCATGCGCCTGGCAGGGGCCCCCTGACCTGCTGATAACGGCTCAGAAAAGGCCCGTTGTTGCGAGGCGCCTGAGTGACAGGCACGCGGGGCGGGTGGGGGGAGAGTACACCCTAGGGGCCAACTGCCAAGCAGCGCAACGGACACTTTTAACCCTTGTAACACTCGCAGCTGTCCCCTCCCTCCCGGCCCCGGTGGCTCACCTGCAGGCTTCAGGGCCTGGCTTTGCGTAGCCGTCCACAGCCCCCTCCCAGACGCTGTTGGCCAGGGCGTTGCCCATGGCGGTCATCACTGCCAGCAGCTCAGGGGGCCAGTCGTCCAGGTCCAGGGAGCGCACCCGCGACAGGTGGGCCCCCAGGTGGCGGTGGATCCCTGAGCACTCGATACACATCAGGGCACCCAGGTTCAGGCTGGCCCAGTCGGGATCTAGGCGGGGAGAGGACGGAGGATGGGGCAGGCGGGCAGCTGGGAGGGGGACGACCAGGAAGGCCTCCTCCCTGCCCCCCATGCATGCAGAGCTCTCCGTGGGCCCCGGTCCCGGAGCACCCGCCTGGCACTCACTGGGGGCATCGCAGTCGATACAGAAGCTGTTGCCGCGCACGGTGCGGACGGCCTGTACGGCCAGCGCTGCATTCTGGTTCCCCAGGCGGGTCTGCCACACAGTGGGGACAAGGGGTCAGTCACAAGCCCCTCCGCCTCCCCCAGCCGGTGCCCCAGGCAGGCCTGGCCACCCCGTGCCAACCTTGTCCTTGGCGCTGCGACAGCCCTGCAAGCTGGCGAGGATCTGGGCCTGCACACTCTGCACCCACAGCTCCCGCTCCTCTGCCGTCGAGGCCTCGAAGTGCCACGTCTGCCCGGTGAGGGACACCACCACAAACTCGAAGGGCTCCTCTGCGTCTGTGGAGGGGTGGGGGCATTGACACCATTGGGGCTGGGGGCTGGCACCCTCACCCGGGGCACACACTGCACTGTGCCCACCTGAGCCCTAGGGCCACGCTGTCCTGGACAACCTGTTAAGCGGGGAGGCAGTGACTGGCATGAGCCCTGAACCCCCATTCCTAACCACCTGTGGAGCCCAGGGAAGTGGGGGACACGAGGCCATGGTTTCCCTGGCACTGTCAGGCAGGGTCCACACCCCAGGCGGGGGGCCTCCAGGAGCAGGAAGAGCTGCGTGCCTGGCAAAGGATGCGTCGGGGCGCTGGAAGGCAACGCTGGGAGAGGGAGGCGGGTGTGGGCACCATCCGTACATGTCAGCTGCAGCCGCCTCATTTTGCAGCTCATTAAACCCAATATTCCTGACGGCGTCAGCGTGGGGCTCCTGGGAGCCGGGCCCCTCCTCCACTGCCCTGGCATAGCAGGCGGGAAGGGCAAGTGGGTGGGGGCCAGGAGGAGATGTTTTCCTCAGGAACTGGGGCCTGCGAGCCAATAGGGACCCGCGGACATCTGCAGTGACAAGTACGGGGCCTCAGCGGCGACCCCAAGCACGGTGACGAAGCTCTTCCAGGCTGTGCTCCCCCAGGCTCCCAAAGACAGTGACACAAATTGTAGTCCCAGGGGTCGCTGCC